AATGTCAATTTCAAAGATATTATTTAGGATATACAATAAAAAGTATGCAAAAGTAGGAATTATAGATGATGTAGACAGTTACAAATCACGTATAGTCCAATAAAAGAAAACTATGTATTAGAATATTAGAAATTATATGTTAAAAATTCCTTATGACCGAGGAAAACAGATCGAACAATATTCTAAACCTTACTCCTTTGTAATTATCATTTTTTCTAAAAGTACATTGCTTCAAATATTGGACACAGCTTTTTATTATATGTTTTAAACTTTTGGCAAAGATCTTAAGGCTCATAAAACCTTAAGTTGTTCTTATCAATATTTCTTTTCATATTCAGTATTCCTTTATTTTATTATTTAATTGATATTATTAATTTTAGGTGAGAATTATTTTGTAATATAGAAATTGTATCTCGCAATATTTATTGAATAGTATGTAACAACGTTTTCACGACATTATTGGTCCATTAAGGTTAATATCAGTCGGAATTTCTTATCCTTGGTGTCCTCGTTCTGCGTTTGCACTGCAGAAATGACGGAGCTAGTTGGCACTCATAAATAGGTACCAGAGAGTCAAAAAGTTTATTGAATCAGAGCCATGGTTTCCGAATTAATCCTGCGGTTTACTGAGTGAGGCGCGGTGCAGTCACAGGAATTAAACTGGTTGTCGAGGATCAAACGATTCTCTTGATACCAAGCACGCTGTTTTATGTTACACTGCTTTCAGTGGACAATTACCATGTAAATTAAGTTATAAAATGATCAGTCGTGATTTTCCCTCATATACGCAGGACTTGTGTATAAATTGTAGACTAAATAAATATAGATATAAACTTGAGTACAAATATAGACAGAAAAATTGTTAATTGAAATTGATGTTGAACATCAAACAAAGTGAAAATACTAGATGAATAATAATTTCATTCGGTTAAAAAAAGAAGAATATTGACACGTACGGTCATTTTGTAATTGGAAACTGATAAATCAAATGGGATCAATCAATAATCGTGTAATCGCTTGCTAGTTATTTGTTTATACGATCTTTTTTTCGTCCGACTGTTTACTTGCATCGCTTGTGCAATTTTACTTTTTTAGGTGATCAACGTGTCACTCGGGTTGTCACGACAGGTGACAATCGCTAACTGATTTCTCGAGTACTCGTATGTGGGCATGCATAGAGTGAAATAAAAATAACAGTTGGGCGAAGGAAGAGGAACACGCGGTGACAGAAAAGTTATTGGATCGTGTCTGCGGTTTAATAGGATTATTGCAATGGCCAGTCGAACAGTATCAGCGCGTTCAGTTCGCGATACGATGATGTCTCAAGGATGCTGGAAATTACACATTTCCACATGTCCCACCACGTCTCCATCGTTACTCCATGAATCGTTTCAACTCAGGCCTAGTTACATGTATGTATGTAGAACTCCTATCAGTTCCCTTACTCACTAAGATCCTTTTTAAACGTGGAACGCTTAATTATTTTTTAGTACCCATGCAAGAAATAAGTCAAGTTTATTTTGTAGTAAATGAAATCACAAGAATAATTTTAATATGCTATGTATATATGTATTTATTATACTTCTTGTTATTTGTATTGTACATTGATTAACAGACATATTAAATATTTTGATAACATGCTTAGTTATGACTTACAAATTATTATAACAAAGCTGCAGACTGTACAGTCTCCTAAATATCTTGACTAATGGCATCTTAAAGGACACGGTTGCGAGCTTTTAATGCATAAAATATTACAATAGTTTAACGATGTGTCCTGAGCCGTGCTACGATCGTAAGTACGTAAGGAATCAAGCCATTCCAATCACTTCGCTGATCCAATCTTTCACTTCCGCTATAGCCGTAAAGGCCGTCGGATATTGCGAAGCGCAGGAACGACTCCACGAAGCCACTCCTACGGAAGAGAATAGCGTTTTCAATACATTATACAACAATTTTTGCAATACAGTATTATTACTGTAACACTTTTATAGTTAGACTATAAATTTTTAAGCAACATAAAATGTTTATAGTGCCAGTTAAAAATTGTGTGTTCTAGATAGAAATTTCTTTTATCATTTGAATACTGTACTGTACAGCTTGGAACACGGAAACTGAGTCAGCTCGGCCTTGGGTTAGTTTCCCTTATGGGGGCAGAATTCAAAACGAATAATAAGTCTGTCTTCTTTTTTCAATGCTCGATCTGGCATCGATACTGTTGGATTTTAACATAATTTTAACGCGTCAGAATAAAAACAATTTTAATGTATGCACCTTACCACCATCTACCTTTTTATTTTAAAACAAGACATAGACTTATTAATCTAAAATTTTGAATTCTGTCTTCCTAGGGGAAACTAACACAAGCCCGAGCTGAGTCAGTTCCGTGTACTGACCGAGCTGTACACTTTTTTGACATTGTACATATTTCGATAAATTACAAGCGGTGTATACTCAATTTCATAAATGCATAAAATTTACAATCCATTTGTAACAGATGAACCTTCTACGTTAAACAAAGCAATGAAAGGAGACATAACTTACCGTATAATGTGTCGTGATAAATAACAGGCGAGCCCGAATCCCCGACGCACGGCCTAGCAGAGCTCGACATAGCGCAGAACATTCTGTTTGTCAAGAAGACGCCGCTGGCTTGCTGACATTTCGCATTATCGATTTTCCACATCGTGCTGAATAATAATTGATCCGAAACGGGGCCTAAGAACTAAACAAACAGTTATATATTCTTTTAATTTCAGTTATTTATATTCAGTTATGTGTATATTCTTTTAATATGTAGTTAGTTTTTACCTCGTATGCACCCCAACCGAGAACTCGAATCTTGGAACCGTCGTCAATCGTAGAATGGACTTTTGGCAATTTGATAGGCTGTTTTGTCGTGTCAAACTGGATGCTATCTGTGAGCTATAAACATAATTGCACTTCACTCATACTCGCAATTCGGTACAGATCTTATTGTTACAGCATGACCTACTGGAGGCAGCTTCCATATGTGTCGAAAGTGTAGAGAATTTTGAAGATTGGTAACAACCTTACTCCTTCAACTTGCTTTGAATTTGAAATCCTTTACTGACAAGTATAGTTATGTGGCTAAATAATCCTCCGGTTTGTTGTTATTATATTCTCTACACTTTCGACTCATATAGAACCTGTCTCCAGTAGTATATGCTATAAGGTACAGACACACGGAAATTTAAAAATTACTGGCACATTGATTCTTTTTTTTCTACATATAATTTTGGAATGCATTGTATATTAAATAATCTATAGATTAATTATAGATCAATGACTTGTCATGCACTTTGACTTTGACGTATTAAATGATTGATATAGTGAAACAAACACGCGAGCAAAATCACATCAGAATGTTGTAAATATCAATTCTAACGAGCGTGAAATTATTAGAGCCATCCTTTCATATGTTCCGTTGGGTTCAACATACGTTTCAGAATACCTTGACAGTCGTAACAGGTCATTAAATACATACTTGATGCCAGGACGCACGGTGTAACGCGACAAGCGAGAACGTATTACCTGGACGAGACCAACGTCGTAGTCGTAATTAATTGCGTTAAAGGCGGGATGTATCACGACGGTTTGTACACCATAAACGTCACCACCCTCGTAATAACGTGACGTGCCGGCCCTCACGTGAAACGCCTTCACTTGTACACTGTGAAACGTAGTTGTAAAAACGTACTTTAGAGTTGTACGGAAATCGTTCACATTGTCGTACATACTGGTATACTACATATATGTAACATGTAATCTTCTATGTAATGAAGTACTGCAAAATATAATATGATGTACTAGTACGTGAGTTATAATGAAATACTATATAATTATAAGGTATTATAATTATAATATGTAACATACTTCATAATGTCATGTGTGTAAAAACGTTTAGAACTGGCTGATTTTGAAATGAAATAAATTTTAGCTAATATAATTTTCATGATATTTAAAAAAATGTAAGAATTTCTAAAACCAAAGGATTTTTACTGAGATCAAATTGTAATATTCTGGCCAGTAATGACCTGTTCCATCACCTATTTCAAGGTGGTCCATTATTTACGAGACTATACATGTATGTATATGTACTTCATTCTACATTTGATATTCTTAAAGTTGAATGTATATAAGGCTGGTGTACTACATACGGTGCATTAATCTTACCTGAGGGCGCACTGCGCCGTCGTAATTATCCACTTCTCCCCGACTATACCGCCGCCGCAGAAATGCTCGACTTGGTGACCAAAAAAAGTGCCATTGTTCTGCAACGAGACCTGCGACGAGAGGCATCGATTTACTAAATGCCAAATCAACTGTGAAGATCGATCGCCGGGTCATACTAACCGCGAATGGATATTCCTCTATGCTAGCTCTCTCTCCGCCGATGATTCTCGACAATTCTAAAATAATGATTCGTTCTCGATAATTTGTCATCAAATATTATAATCAAAAATCTCTTAACGAGTCCACGATATTTCGACATTTAATTCTAATTACACATTGTACGTATTGCATGACTTCAAGACAATATAATGTAATTAAAATTTAATAGTATAATGTACAACGTTTATTGTATAAATATAATCAAGTTAATGTAAAAATGACTTCTTATCATTAATAATAATTATTATTGAACATATTAATAGTTCGTATTGCATAATTGTGTTGTTAAACGTGTGAAGTTGGAAACCAACCGTGTCCGGAAACCACAGAGAGCACGGAGAAAGCGAAGATGACCGGTAACAGCGACATTGTGACCACATTCGAAGTCAGCAGAAGCTATTGCTACTTATAAAGCCGCAAAAACGTAATTCCTGCATAAATGATACGCGGTGCTGTCTGCTCAATTTATTTATCGGGTGACTGTTAATGCTTGTAAGGCAGCGACATTAAGGACTAAGTTGGCGTCCATTACCGTGTTTTCAGTGTATGTTTAGAAAATGGCTTAAGATATTAAGATAACGTTGGCGGATCCATGCGCCATAAATTGTCACTATCGAGAATTGAATTCGTGAGAACTCTGATCATAAAATTTCGAAATTTCAGTTATGAATTTCGATTCATTTGTTTGTTTCACTTGATTCGTTTGTATTATGAATATAATTTTTATTGCTTTTATTTGACAAAGTGCCTATAGATAAAACTAATCTATTAAATATTTTTTCTTGGAATGCCTCAACCGAAGACTGCATTGTATGCATTCGGTTTGTTTAAGGATCTTTATAAGAGCCTAACGGTTTTTGCATGTGTCTCCAGAATGTTAATAAAGAATGTCTTAGAGACCTATGAAATGTTATACAATTTAATAGCCTCTTTCCAATCTCATTTAATTTTAAGAGAATGTGTTTATTGAAATACGTTTACGCATTACAAAAGTCTGTACAAATTTTTCTTTTCCGTTTGTAAATGGTTTTATCAAGGGAATAGGAATTTCATTTTTAATGCCGTATTAATATCTCGTTGGATAATTGTTTCGCGCATACGAACGTCCGTCGCGCAGCTAATTGACCCCGCGAATGTCGAATTAATGCACCGGCCGTCGTCGCCGTTGTCATCGAGCTACATATGTAAATACGTAACGCGCCTGCAATTTCACCGTTCTCGCTCGCGTTAACCCTGTTTTTCGTCAGGAGGCATCGAATTAATTAGTCGACGTCGCGCGTACGCTGTTATCGTCAAAAATAATTCCAATTGCGCGTCACGAAGGCGTCGCCGCGCGAAACGAATTGTTAACGCGAGATAAATATTCCATCTGCTAACGACAGATGGCCACAGGTTTACGTATTAAATTTCATCATCGCGTTCGCACGCAAATTAAGATTAAAATATAACGCATTAACGATCCATTAGAAACTATGTCGAAAATATGATGGAATATTTTATAATTGAATAAGCTTCTTTTCGTGTTTTTGTTATAACTCTGTGATACTGTGTATGCGTTTCCCTGGTTGTATGGATGACGTTTCGCATAGGTAATACTTATTATCGAATTAATATAAAGCAGAAGCCAGTGAAAATTTGTCAGTACGTCATCGTACTTAAATTACATTAAACGACTCCATCTCTAATCGCAATGAAAATTATGATTACGATTATAAATTCAAACGGCGTTAAATATTCAAGCCTTCCAAGTATCTTAATTAAAGTTATAGTCAGAGAGATCTACATATAGGAAGCCCTCAAACTAACTTTAACAGATAATAAATTAAAACGCGCTGTCCGATTATTTTCTTCTATGCTTTATCGCGATTAATCGGATGTGCAAAGAGGGGGGATCGCCTCTACCTCTACGCTACACGCCGCGTACCGCTTTGTTTCATTCAACCGTTTTCGAAATATCGCCGATAATCTTCGCTCGGCCATTGAACCTCGCCTTCACGTTCGTTCAATTATGAATAAAAGTATTCGCGCGAATTCTCGTTTCGACGGTCGCCGAGCCCGGCTTTTAACATCGATTATACGCAGCGATGAATAAATCGCAATTTTATCTCCTTAATTGCGAGCCACTCGGAAATATTACATCCGAGGAAAACGTACACAAGCCGATGAAATATCGCAAAATCAGATTCCAAACCGATTTATTGGTCTCCTATAATTAGCTATGTTAATGGGACTCGATGAATACTAGTAATTCTACCTAATCTGAAAAGTGAAGAAATGTAAAATGTCATGAAGATTTACGTATGTAACCACATACAATTAATAGTAAGTGTAGGGATCTTATTTCTACTATAATGGTGAGATATTTATTCATGTAGTGAAACGATCAATGTGCCAAGATGATACTCGTTTGGAATATTTATCAGGCATTGTTAATATTTATAACAAAATGTTGTGTACTAAGTACTTTAAATCTGTACAACTATACATATTTAAGTGGAACGTGTAAGATATTGGCATTTATGGGTGAATATAATCCGAATCATATCGTATTTAGTCTTATTTTAATTAGAAGAATGGCATAAGTGATACGAAAAAAATGATAATTTGAGAGTATCAAAAAGTTAGGCTTATTAATATAACAAATTACATAAATGTAAATCATCGTTGCCGTATATTTTACATTTATCTAACAAATACTAATTTTCCAAAAAATTACGACGTTTAATTGCGTTTCTATGGCCCGTGCCGCAATATCGTCGAGCCGTGGAGCGAACAGGGAGCATAATTGCGCGCGGGCGTGTTCGCAGTTCGTTTTATCGCCGGTTCTCGATGAGCCAAAAATTATCGCAACGTAAATCGCTAGCCAGTTTCGCTCGCTCGCTTCCAACGCGTTCCTCTGTTCGTCCATCGCGTCGCATATTTCCACGCGCGCGTATACGCGCTTCACTGCAAAACATGCATTCGTAATCCGGTATGGACGCGGATCCGCCATAAATTTGGATAACCGTCGCCTGTCCCTCCCGCCGCCGTCGCCATAATTTCAATAATCGCGCGCGATGCGACCGACCAGCTTTTTCTCTCCTCTTTCCTTTTATTATCAACGATCGCGTCGTCACGGCTGAGACATTTAAACGCTCTCCGTGATAAAAAAGAACGACGTTCTTCTTGCGCAATTCGGTATATCGAATTGCTTTTAAAATAATGCAGCAAAAAGTATTTGCAAATTTATTTGATTGATACATTAATTACTTTCTAGTGATGCATTATTTAATCATTATTTGAATTTAAGTGTACAATACTCTATGTCTGTTTAAAGTTGATACTGTGCGCTACAAAAATGAGTTTGTATAATCTGATCAAAATTATACTATACCACTCCACTAAATATTGGTTACCACTGAACTTTAGAAAAATGAAAATTTTATTTACGACATACAAAACTTTAAGCTTTAAAATGAATCCACATTGAATGGTTTACGACTTTTTATTACAGTGTTACAAGAGCTTAATGTAGCCAACCCTTCGGTCGCAAGTGTTTCTTTGATTTAGTCGAGTAGTGTATTTGCGCAATCGAATCAAAACAGACTACGCAAAGAGTCTGACATCTGACCAGTCATGCATAAAAACACAGATTCGGTGGATTAGGTAAGTAAATTGTAGTGAACGGAAATTTTGGAAACTCGCAAGGGCATTCATTGCGAATGTATGTTCCTGTGTTAAGCGTTTCGAGCACAGTGCGTCGCGGCTGAAGCTAATAAGTATTAGGAGTTGGCAATTTGGAAGAGATTACTACGAATTAACTCACGTGAGAGGAAATTCGTTCGTACGAGGAATGTTCGCAAAGGAACATTTCTACAAAACACTGCAATGCGGTAAAAAGAGTTATAGAATTAATTTATGATCTAATTTAACTTCTATTCTTATCTATGAAGTCTGAGCATTTGTATCAAAATCAATATGGCAAACATAATGTTTGTGTTTATTCCATAAAATGATACATTAGTATACAGATGTAATGTAATTTTGATATGCACAGTGCAATATTCTTGTTCGAATGAAAAACTTCTTCTATGCTTACTTTTTCAAAGCATATTCACTTCGCATTCTTTGCTATTGTGCTACTTATCGCTATTGTTAACAAAATCACGAAAATCACTATTAAAATGACAGAGTCTAAAACCTGTAATTAGATATATCGACTTTCTTTATTTCAATCGGCTGCCACTGTGTGAATTACCGCAGAACAAGTGACATAAAAATAATGCTTGACCGAAGTGTATGACGATTTATTCACTCTGGACGTTTCATTCTGAAAACCGTAAATGGAGGCTAGCTCTAGGTTGCGTACACGCGGTTTCTATATAATTTTTACTACAACCGACCGCAATTTCGATTACTCGCCGGTAAATAAAACTCGGGAAATAAAAGCAATGGAACGGCGACAAATGGTGTGCCCATTTGCGACCAGTAAAGGGTATCTTTCTTCTTCTACCCTCCTTTCTATTTTCCACGTCGCTGCCGTGGAAACGCGCGTATACATACACGCAGAACGCTTGCAAATCTTGTCACGCGTGATAGAGGCCGTAAAAAAATGGAGAAGAAAAACATTGGCGGAAAATACGAAAAGGCAATTTATTATTCAATAAACGAGTTTTATGGTTGTGCAAGATTTAGGTTTGTGGTTTTCCCGAAAATCTATTAAATCCTTTCATTCAATTATAAGTCATGATCATTTATAGAAATTGGTTCTTCCAGTTTGAGTTATCATCTCAGTTCATCATTCATAAGGGGGTAGACTCTGAGAGCTACGCAATAAGGTAAATTGTCAATGTTACCCACAAAATTAGTCAAAAATATGGGTTTACGGGAATACACTTTTCATCCTTATATGAGAATATTTTTCGGTTGTCAGGTACCTCTTCAGAAAGAGAAAAGTCAAATTCGGCGCGCTCTAATTATTGTTTCAATGAAAACAATCTGTTTTGAATAAAGAATCGCTTATAAACACAGGCATTGTAACTATGACTTTTCGTCCATATTATAACGCTCATATTACTAAATATCAGCATATTCTGATTAAATAATGACCAGAGTGCATCAGATTTGATTTTGCTCTTTCTGAAGAGGTACCTTACGACCTGAAAATATTCTCATAGAAGGACGAAAAGTGTCACGTCACTGCCCTAGCCCCATAAGTGCTACTTGTGTAAGTAGTGAAGCGAAATTAAATAATAAAAAGACTCCAAATAGTGCAGATAAATAGTCTATAATTAAATTTTTATATCGGATATACTCTGTCAACTTGTCGAAGTGATTTAATATTTTAGGAAAGTCACTGAACATCTTAATGAAATAAATATTTTATACTAATAGCCACGATAAGTTTTGAAGTTGAGCCTGGCTCGAAGTCATTTCGGGCAATTCTGTGTACTCTTATTAGAAATTTTTACTACAACCGACCGCAATTTCGATTACTCGCCGGTAAATAAAACTCGGGAAATAAAAGCAATGGAACGGCGACAAATGGTGTGCCCATTTGCGACCAGTAAAGGGTATCTTTCTTCTTCTACCCTCCTTTCTATTTTCCACGTCGCTGCCGTGGAAACGCGCGTATACATACACGCAGAACGCTTGCAAATCTTGTCACGCGTGATAGAGGCCGTAAAAAAATGGAGAAGAAAAACATTGGCGGAAAATACGAAAAGGCAATTTATTATTCAATAAACGAGTTTTATGGTTGTGCAAGATTTAGGTTTGTGGTTTTCCCGAAAATCTATTAAATCCTTTCATTCAATTATAAGTCATGATCATTTATAGAAATTGGTTCTTCCAGTTTGAGTTATCATCTCAGTTCATCATTCATAAGGGGGTAGACTCTGAGAGCTACGCAATAAGGTAAATTGTCAATGTTACCCACAAAATTAGTCAAAAATATGGGTTTACGGGAATACACTTTTCATCCTTATATGAGAATATTTTTCGGTTGTCAGGTACCTCTTCAGAAAGAGAAAAGTCAAATTCGGCGCGCTCTAATTATTGTTTCAATGAAAACAATCTGTTTTGAATAAAGAATCGCTTATAAACACAGGCATTGTAACTATGACTTTTCGTCCATATTATAACGCTCATATTACTAAATATCAGCATATTCTGATTAAATAATGACCAGAGTGCATCAGATTTGATTTTGCTCTTTCTGAAGAGGTACCTTACGACCTGAAAATATTCTCATAGAAGGACGAAAAGTGTCACGTCACTGCCCTAGCCCCATAAGTGCTACTTGTGTAAGTAGTGAAGCGAAATTAAATAATAAAAAGACTCCAAATAGTGCAGATAAATAGTCTATAATTAAATTTTTATATCGGATATACTCTGTCAACTTGTCGAAGTGATTTAATATTTTAGGAAAGTCACTGAACATCTTAATGAAATAAATATTTTATACTAATAGCCACGATAAGTTTTGAACTTGAGCCTGGCTCGAAGTCATTTCGGGCAATTCTGTGTACTCTTATTAGCTCTCACACGCAATTCAGCCGCTTCCGAATTATTTTCGGAATGTGACGTGGCGCAAGGTGGGCACGAGGATTAATGCGATGCCAAACGGCTCCCGTAAACGTGAAAGGCCCGAGCAGAGCCAAGCGTGGCGTTAAAATTATATGATGGCCGTATCCGGCAAATGTATACGGTGCGCGTACACCTATCTCAAGTGTATTATAAATGCGATACACCCGCGCTACGCGCAAAAGGAAGCTACGTGTATTATTTATGATACGACCGACCGAACGCGATGAAAATAAGGCGGCATTAGCGGGACCGGGAGGGATGAAAGCGAAGCCGTGGCTAACTCTACGCCGTTGCGTGTAATCCGCCGAAAATTACCATTTAAATTTCTATCCTGCCGAGCCTCCACTGCCGGGGCAAGGCGAAACACGCTCCCCCGACTGATGGGGACGAGGGCCCTTGATTAACGCCGTTAAAACCCTCTCGTTTCGCTTCGAGAGCGACACTTGCCAGCATTGTTTCAGTTTCGTTTCTCCATTACACGATATTGCGTGCGTTGTCGGCGTACTGTCTGTGACACGAGAGTGATGCATCCTCCAATCGAAAGTGGAAAAGATAATTTTTACTGCTATTTATCAATATGTAAAGTCTAGTCATTTTGATAAAACTTGAGAACTCTTGCCAATTCTCCGTATTTGTACAAATGTGGATTTCCGGCTATAACTGATAATAATAATTGATATTAGATTAAATATCTCATCGCTTTGCCTGTCTCACTATGATAAGGTGAGGTCAAGAGTCTGGTATGAATATTACTTCTTATGTGTACATAATATGTATGTATGTACAATGTACTTTTGATATGTCATATAATTTTATACAGTATTCATTATTATACTATAGTAAGTGCTTTCACAAAAAAGAAATATTGAAAATTTGGTTTACAGAGGTACTTGCATAAAAGAGTAGTTGCATGGTTTGATTTCTTCAACCTTTCACGTTCCTCATTCCCCCCTTTCGTCGTCGATTTACGCGTGAATGAACTTTCCGATAGTTTTCGATTTACTACGTGTCGTCATTGATTGGCTGTAACAAAATTTCTTCTCCTCGGTTTTGCTTCCACGGCCTGAATAAAAGAGTCTGCGTTCCGTGTCGTACGGAACTTCTATTATAGATGCACTCCCTATTTCGTAAAAGTGTAAAACAAGAGCCGCGAGTTCGTGGCAATAAAGAAAGACGTAGAGGCGCAAGACTGCTGAAAAATGGAAAGCAACACGTATTTCGCAAAAACTACATGCTTTCTTATCCCTCATGTAGCTAATTGCTTAACTATTTCACAATTTTTCTATAGCTTGCATTTGTCCAAACATAATTTAAATAATATAAAGATCGCATGTAATATATAAAAATATATGAAATGTCACAATGCTTAAATCAAATTCTTTACACTGATATCATAAACGTCTTAGTTTGTATAAAAATTCGCAGTCTACTTATGAATGAAAGTGCACGTCAGAAATTCAATGTAGAATGCTGCTTTCGTATCTCATTCTTCTTACCTTCCGGCAATTGTCTAATGACTCATAAACGAGATTGTGTTTCACCAATCCCGCTTATCAAATCCCGTCTTATCAGTCGATCGGCGAACTTGACTGACTTTGATTTCGCGGTCAACCAGTAAGCCTGCGGATCTCCAATCGAGAGAATGATGATGCTGTTGTCGTTGCTGTCGCTCTTCACGCTAGCGCGTTGCGCAAGTTGCTTCATACCGAGGATTATAGGCGGACAGAACGCGTCCATCGCCAACTATCCATATCAGGTAAATTGATCACGGTTTACGCGAGTTTCTCGCTAAATGCGCAAAGACCGCTCCGCAGTATAATCCAGACGATACCGAAATAACGAGGGGCAAACGTTTATGCTGTAATAGGTATCTATAATCCACAATAACAATTTCCAATGTGGGGGATCCATAATAAGCAGTGATTGGATGTTAACGGCGGCGCATTGTGTCTACGGGTTCGTACCAATCCAGTCATGAAACGACCTGATAATTTATCAATTACCGCGATGATTTACTATTAATATACTGCGGATTTTTAAGCATCTGTGAAGTAAATTTTAAATAGAAATAAAAATAATGATATATCACTTTTAATGTTTTGGAAATTTTTATACATTACTTGCTCTTATTTCCTACACAATCGATTTTTGTTAATATGTAAAAAATCTATAACTCTCGATTACTTAGAATTTCGTTTAACTATTTTTAAACAAAAACATAAATGTACAAGAATATAAATTAAATTATATAAACTAGTATAAATAATAAATGGATTAAATCGGCAGTCATATCAATGATTAGTGAAGCTTGCTACGATTTTCTTTGAAAACCTTCTCAATCAGTCACGATGATCTTTTGCTTATAGGCTTCCACCCCAGCAATTAAAAATTCGCATTGGCAGCAGTTTTTACAACAAAGATGGCACATTAATCGATGGAATCACGAACGTACTTTGGCCTAATGAGTACAATATGATAACGTATGATTTCGATGTTGCTGTGATAAAGGTACAATTTAATTATACCACATTTATAATTTTGTTTATCTGATTATAATACAAAATCTAACATCTACCTCAAACCGATTCTCTTTTATTATTTAACATTTACATGAAAAAGTCAATTTTCATCATTTTTGTTCACATAATTATCGCGTTACACGTACAAAATTAGTAACGAAAATACATTCAAGCAGGTACCATTTAGACGAAAAACATACTAAATCGAAAGATTTCATGACTTTTGTTCACAGTTCCCTAAGCCAATAACTATGAGCGCGAGCGTAAAACCAATCTCTTTAGCCAAGGCTACAAGCGTCGTTCGTCCAGGGCAAAATGCGGTGGTAACGGGCTGGGGTCGTTTAACAGTAAGTTTTTTGGCACATTAACAATCAAATTTGTTACATACACGTTGCTCTAAGCTGCTGCATCGCGTCGAGATAAACCGGAACAATTCACACGATTACGACTCGATGCTTCGGTCAACTATTCGGCCGAGACTGATTATCGAACCAGCCCAGTGGCGACTAGCGCAAACATTAAGACATGTTTGTTAACCGTTCATTCGTAGCAGCGCACGTACGCGCGATGCAAGTATTGCGTTTTCCGCAACGGTGGAAAACGGAACTGAAGTGTTTGAACCTATGATGAGATATTTCTGATTAAAACAATTACGATTACTATTATGATATTGAAGTATTTGGAATTGGTTTTATCTGTAGACTTCTATATAACAAGCTCGGTTGTAGGAAAATGGTCCGCTGTCAGATAAACTGCAATCGCTGACGGTACCTATCATTGATCTGAAGGAATGCAAGAAAACAAGTGACAGTGTGACGGATAATATGATCTGTGCTGGTTATATGGCTGGTGGCAAAGATACGTGTCAGGTATTATTTTTCATTTTATCATCATTCAACAATACAAAAATTATATTATATTTTTAAATCAAATTCAATTTTTGATATACGCATTCTCGTATTTATTGATTTCATGTAAATAAGCTGCGTATGAATTTTATACTCGAGAAATTTATTTTCATACTTCAACAGATTAAAATTAGTTTATTCAATACTGTGCAATACTGTGCAATTAAGATAACTTCAAACGACTCTCGTTGAGTTATATCTTATCAAGTATCTATCAATAATTTCAAATTACAAGTAAATAAATGTAATGTCTTACTTTTTATTGATACTTCTAAGAGGTGCCCATTATGTCTCTCTTATGATCAGTCAATTATTTTGAATAGTATGTTATTAATATAGAACCTTCTATGGACAAAAATTTATACCAGTGTCCACATCACGAAAAACATGATACTAACCACTTCTAAAGAAATGTGATAACGATTCGATAAACGAATACCAAATATATTTGCTCAATTATGATCGATAAATATTACACAACATGTTCTTAAAAGTTATATGTAATACAAGAGGTTTTTGGCAAATTTCTCAATAGCCTCTTATCACGCATTACACGTACAAAATTAGTAACGAAAATACATTCAAGCAGGTTATTCAACCATTTAGACGAAAAACATACTAAATCGAAAGATTTCATGACTTTTGTTCACAGTTCCCTAAGCCAATAACTATGAGCGCGAGCGTAAAACCAATCTCTTTAGCCAAGGCTACAAGCGTCGTTCGTCCAGGGCAAAATGCGGTGGTAACGGGCTGGGGTCGTTTAACAGTAAGTTTTTTGGCACATTAACAATCAAATTTGTTACATACACGTTGCTCTAAGCTGCTGCATCGCGTCGAGATAAACCGGAACAATTCACACGATTACGACTCGATGCTTCGGTCAACTATTCGGCCGAGACTGATTATCGAACCAGCCCAGTGGCGACTAGCGCAAACATTAAGACATGTTTGTTAACCGTTCATTCGTAGCAGCGCACGTACGCGCGATGCAAGTATTGCGTTTTCCGCAACGGTGGAAAACGGAACTGAAGTGTTTGAACCTATGATGAGATATTTCTGATTAAAACAATTACGATTACTATTATGATATTGAAGTATTTGGAATTGGTTTTATCTGTAGACTTCTATATAACAAGCTCGGTTGTAGGAAAATGGTCCGCTGTCAGATAAACTGCAATCGCTGACGGTACCTATCATTGATCTGAAGGAATGCAAGAAAACAAGTGACAGTGTGACGGATAATATGATCTGTGCTGGTTATATGGCTGGTGGCAAAGATACGTGTCAGGTATTATTTTTCATTTTATCATCATTCAACAATACAAAAATTATATTATATTTTTAAATCAAATTCAATTTTTGATATACGCATTCTCGTATTTATTGATTTCATGTAAATAAGCTGCGTATGAATTTTATACTCGAGAAATTTATTTTCATACTTCAACAGATTAAAATTAGTTTATTCAATACTGTGCAATACTGTGCAATTAAGATAACTTCAAACGACTCTTGTTGAGTTATATCTTATCAAGTATCTATCAATAATTTCAAATTACAAGTAAATAAATGTAATGTCTTACTTTTTATTGATACTTCTAAGAGGTGCCCATTATGTCTCTTTTATGATCAGCCAATTATTTTGAATAGTATGTTATTAATATAGAATCTTCTATGGACAAAAATTTATACCAGTGTCCACATCACGAAAAACATGATACTAACCACTTCTAAAGAAATGTGATAACGATTCGATAAACGAATACCAAATATATTTGCTCAATTATGATCGATAAATATTACACAACATGTTCTTAAAAGTTATATGTAATACAAGAGGTTTTTGGCAAATTTCTCAATAGCCTCTTATCACGCTGTGATGCTTATCAATTATGTAACAGCCTCAACGTTTCTTCACACTTAAAATATTTTTAATGTTTCAAAATAATCTGTCTTCTCATTTAAATTATTTTATTTTATTTTATAATTAAAGGTGTTTCATAATATGTGTCACCGTCCCTATTAGAAAAACCATTTGCATATGACATTCTCTATTTTCTTTTTCTAATACGGAGTCCATTTTGAAAAGCTTTTTTTTTTATCTGTGACAGGGGGACTCTGGTGGTCCGTTGGTGCTCAATGGTGTCCAAATCGGCATCGTGTCCTGGGGCAGGGGATGTGCGAGACCTAAATATCCCGGCTTGTATACGCGAGTGTCCGCCGTGCGAAGTTGGATAAATCAAAAGACGAAAGTATAAAATTCATACCTCACTCTCTCTCTTGGCGTACGTGCGCTATATTACGCGAACATTTATTTTCCTCTTTCACCGTTGAGAACCCGCGCCGGTTGAAACGGGAAAACAACCTGCGCTTCTTTTTTTATCGCGCGCATAAATCCTTCCATCGGAGAACACTGTACGGATAGTATATTTCACTGTAATAATCATACAAAATAATCTTTAAAATGTAATATAATAAGTTATTGCATTCAAGCTCACGATTAAATGAGATTGAGTTAAGTTTTTATTTGTTTTGTTAATACATATTAATATTTTGAAATAAAGAGAGATTTATTGTACATTCCACACCAAATAATTTCCTTTCTAATAATTAGATTGTAAATTTTTATGTACATATGGAAAGTCTGAATCTGGAAGGATGCATATAATCTAAAAAAGAATGTATGAAACAGTCAATTTGGACGATGCATTAAATTAGGAAATGAAAAATTCCTAATAGGATTACATTTCTTAAAGTGTTTACGAAAACGTAATTTTACATAAAAGTCTGTTAATAACAAAATCCATCATAGTTCATTAAGAGTTATTGGAACAATAATCAGTTCAATAATTTTCTGTCATCTCCTCTGATATGAATGAAATTTTATGACAGAAGATCTTAAGCTTGAGCCAGAAAAGAGGAAAAAGGAAATGAAAAAAGTTTGCTGCATTTCTACCAAATTCTATTATTCGAATCCATGGGCTTAACCAGCAGACTCGAACATCGATGCGGGAACATTCAATATCGAAAGAGCTTCGCCTGCGAGTCGTTCGTGTGATTTTGCTGCTGGTCCGCAAACAACTGAAATTTCGGCCAAATTTAAACTAAATCCGCCGAGTTCGAAAATCTACCGACTGGCAGTTTCTGAACGCGATCCTCTACAAAAATTTTTGCAGTTACTCCCTTTCAGCACAAAAATTCTATCCTTCGATGAATAACTACAAACAATTCAGAGACACGATTTATTTTCCATGAAACAAGAATTAAATACAACTGCTGAATCAATTCAAATGTTTGACGCAATTGTTTTGCACTTAAAGTTTAAACGATCAAATATTACGCGTTTGACTAATATTTTTCAGCCGAAATCGTAGCCATCCGAAAATTGTTCAGTACATTCTCTGTCATTAAGCTTAATACGCGCGTTAGCTCCACGATATGCGGTCGCATCAGGCCGGATTTTAAAACGCGTTAAACGAAATTCAGACGTCAGTACCTCCACCGACCGATAGTTTTCAACTCGGGAAACGAACTAGGCAGGACGCGCACTCCATTCGTTGCGAATAAAAAAATAATGTTTGAGTGTGCATCTAAATTCGAACACGGCCAGATGTCTATCAAAAATTTGATAATCATCCCAAATTAGAAATTATCGATCCTAAACTTTATTTGAACAGTTATAATAAATCATATTCTTATAATTATATAATAAATCATTAGCAACTCCAGTAAAA